CTTTTGGATCATCCCTAAAATAAGAAGATTACGTCTGAACAATTTTTATCACCATCATTTGTAAAAGTATACCTTTATTTCCAAAGGTACATTACAACAGCAATCCTTGGCATTCTTTGGTCTTTTTCCTGTACTTATTTAATAGCATATCAATAGAGGGGAATTATTTTTCAAGTGAAACAATTAAGCTGCAACTAGTGTTGTTTCCCTAAGTGGCATGGGTAAAGTGAATTTGGCACATCACCCACATTGATATGAGGATAGGCTGTAAAAGGCAATCCCACCAGCCTACAACTTTGAGTGCTGAAATTTGAATATGGTAATAAATTAGCGATATGACTGCAATTTAACACTGTTTACATCAGCATATTTTAGCCTAAAAGCCCAGTGTCTTGATGTCCCTGAGTGAGATTTATCTGAAGAAATTTCAAATGATATATAGGTAGTTAAGAATTTCTTTTTAAGACTGACTAGAAAATTAAGTACAGGAAGTCCCCGGGTTACATACAAGATAGGGACTGTAGGTTTGTTCTTAAGTTGAATTTGTGTGTAAGTCGGAACTGGTACATATTGTACCCCAGGTGTCCCCGATTCAGCCGCTGCTGAAACTGACCAGTGGCTGACTACAGGAAGCCTGAGGCAGAGCTGCTTTGCCCCGGACTTCCTGGAATCAGCGGCTGATCAGTTTCAGCAGCGGCTGACTTGGGGACACCTGGGGTAGAGCAGCTGGGGTGCTGCCAGATTGGTCCCCGCAGCGCCGAGGTGCAGCACTGCGGGGACCAACCCAGCAGTGCCCCAGCTGCTCTGTCCCAGGCGTCCAGATTCAGCCACTGTTGAAAATGACCAGCAGCGGCTGAATCGGACATACCTCGGGCGCAGAGCAGCTGGAGTGCTGCTGGGTTGGTCCCCGCAGTGCTGCACCTCGGCGCTGCGGGGACCAATCTGGCAGCCCCCCAGCTGCTCTGTCCCAGGCGTCCAGATTCAGCCACTGTTGAAACTGACCAGCTGCGGCTGAATCGGACATACCTCGGGCGCAGAGCAGCTGGAGTGCTGCTGGGTTGGTCCCCGCAGTGCTGCACCTCGGCGCTGCGGGGACCAATCTGGCAGCCCCCCAGCTGCTCTGTCCCAGGCGTCCAGATTCAGCCACTGTTGAAACTGACCAGCTGCGGCTGAATCGGACATACCTCGGGCGCAGAGCAGCTGGAGTGCTGCTGGGTTGGTCCCCGCAGTGCTGCACCTCGGCGCTGCGGGGACCAATCTGGCAGCCCCCCAGCTGCTCTGTCCCAGGCGTCCAGATTCAGCCACTGTTGAAACTGACCAGCTGCGGCTGAATCGGACATACCTCGGGCGCAGAGCAGCTGGAGTGCTGCTGGGTTGGTCCCCGCAGTGCTGCACCTCGGCGCTGCGGGGACCAATCTGGCAGCCCCCCAGCTGCTCTGTCCCAGGCGTCCAGATTCAGCCACTGTTGAAACTGACCAGCTGCGGCTGAATCGGACATACCTCGGGCGCAGAGCAGCTGGAGTGCTGCTGGGTTGGTCCAGTAGCGCCGCACCTCGGCGCTGTGGGACCACCCCGGCAGCGCCCCAGCTGCTCTACCCCAGGCGTTGGAGAGAAAAGCCTGGCCTGCTGGGGGGGGGGGGGGCCCGCAGCTAGTGCGGGGTTCCCTCCCCCCGTTCTTAAGTAGGGATCCGATGTAAGTTGGATCCACGTAACCCGGGGATTGCCTGTAACCTGGGAAAAACACTCCATCCTTATGTGGCTTATCTCGCAATCCACCCTTGAGGAACGTGAAGCTCTGTCTTCCCATATCTTTTTGCCAATTGTAGTCAAAACAATGACAGCTTTTGGCAGAACGTTGGGCTCTCTCTTTATATGGTTAAATGAGCTGGAGCCAGAGGGGCTGACAGACTTGCCAGGCTCCTGGGCAAGAGGGAGGGGAGCAGGCTCTGTGTACCTGGAAGGGGTAGGAGCTCGAGTGGAAGGGGTGGGGCTGGGGGCAGCCAGCCCTCAGTGCTGCCCTGAGTGTGCCACGCTACACCATCCAGCCCTCAGAGCCATCAGGGGTGCACCGTGCAGTACTCCGGTGGTGATTTAAAAGGCTCAGGGATGTCAGCTGCTGCTATCACAGAAGTGGCAGTGGTCTGCAGCCAGGGGCCCTTTTGATTCACTGGGCCCTGGGGCAACTGCCCCCTTTGCCCTTCCCTGTTGGCAGGCCTGGCTGCAAGGTTTCAGTCCTGACTCTACTGCAGTGTAGGGCTTCTGTGAAATTTGTCTTCGCTCCCACTAGTTAGAATGTTAGTAGCCGTTCAGGGTAAGACACCAACCCATGTTTGGAGTGAAGAGTCTTCTCTGTTACACTGATGTGAATTCACAGGTAGTTCTTTTGAAGCCAATAACATTTACTCTGGATTTATATGGGTGTCACCAGATCCAGAGTGAAGATTAAGGCAGCCACAGCTTCTTTAACACATCTTTTAATCTAAGCCTTACAGCTCTTTCCCCTGGTTTCTCCAATTTGTCATTTTAAGCAAAGAAAAAATTATGCACGTGATTCATCTCCAACAACACCTAATGATTATATGGGAGCAGAGTTAGCGCCTTAAGTCTAAAGCAATCCTATAGCAGGAACATGATCCCAAGGAAATGCCAGTATTTTTCTCTGATGTGATTATATTATTGCATGCAAACCAGCATGTACTTCCTCCAAACACAATGTTGCGTGTTTGTATTATTTACTCTGTCATACGTAGGCATATTTAAAGAATTGAGTATTTTCAAATGCCAGCAAACCTCCTACTTCTATATTTACCATCTTATGTTAATCATGAACCATATGATATAAACTCTGCATTTAGTCAAGTAGCATTATATTCTCTTGTTAACGCATGTTGCAAGCAAGTATATTAATTAACTTGTTGTTTTCTCCCTGACAACAAGGATTCTTCTACACTTCCGATTTTACCAGGGCTGTAATTTAAAAGGAAATAGTGAATGTGTGTCTAAAAGGGTTAAACAAAGAAATATCTAAATTCATAGATGGTTTCTAAATTCAGCTGTATTTCAAGGAAAACCGCTTTACAATGACTGGGATAAATTTACCAAAGAAGTATTTTATTCAAAACAAAATCTGGCATGGGGAAAAAGAATGATTTCACATTGCAAGAATGGAGGAAGGAGAAGTCATTCATTCTTAGATCATTTTACTTCAGGATGGAACAGGCCCACCGACGAGTGTGGCAAAAGAGGCAACTGTCCTGGGACCCAGTGATTCTAAAGGGCTCGGGGCTCCCAGCTGCTGCTATATGTGGTAGTCAGAACCATGGACTCTTTAAATTGCTGTTAGAACCCTGCATTAAGGGTGTTAAGAGCTGACGGGGGGCGAGGGGTGCACTGTGGTCTGAGAGTCACTGAGGGTTGGCTGCCCAGCTCTGCTGCTTCTACCTGAAGACCCACCCCTTCCAGGAAAGCAGAATCACCATCCCCATTGCCCAGAGTCCAAGCAATTCTGTTGGCCCCCATGGGATGGAATAAGTGTATAATAGATTGGAAGCGTTGCTAGGAATGACAAGCAGTTTGAGAGATAGAAGAGCACTAAGGTGCCATTTTCGAAGTAAGTCTTTCTTAAATACAGGTACAGTCATTTACAGGGAGGTCAAGACTAAAAGTTTACTTCACTGAGGTGACACTAAGGCTACATCTACACTGCAGAATTTTTGCACAAAAACTCACGGAACATCTACACTACAAGTGCGTTTTTGCACAAGAAAAAGTACAGTAGGTCGTCAGAAGACAGGGATTTTTGTGCAAGTGTTACTCCTCTTTCTACGAGGAATAAGCCTTTTTGCGCAAGAGCTCTTGCGCAAAAAGACGTGTGAATGGACCACAGGGGTTTCTTGCACAAGAAACCCCTATCAGAAAAAGCACAGGTGTGAATGACCATCACAGCTTTCTTGCACAAGAGCGTCCATGGTAGTGTGGATGCTGTCTTGCACAAACGCACATGGCTGTGTGGACGCGCTCTTGCGCAATAACTTTTTGCAGAAGATCTCTTCCACAAAAAGTTCTTGTACAAGAAGCCTGCAGTGTAGACGTAGCCTAAGTGAAAAATGACATCACAGGTGAGATGACTTTTATAGAAGAAAAGTAGAATACAGCAGCTTCTCTGAAAGTAACTAAAAAGTTGAAAAAAGGGTTAGTAAGCAATACTCATGTTATTGTGAAAGTTACAAGGCTTAAATAATCATGGATGTGGCAAGAGAACTATAAAAAGGAGAGGAAAATCCATGGAAAGGGAAGACTTCATTCTGTTTTGCAGAACCCTGCTTTTGTTTAATGACTATACATTTTATCTCTCATGGGTTTGAAGATAGCCTTCCCACCATAAATCACAGAACTGCTGTCTGGTTGATTGCATGTATCCTGAAAGACTGAAACAAAATACCGAGAGCACTATTAAGATTCTCCATCTTCATAATGTTGATGGGGAAAAGCTGCAAAATTGAAAAAAAAGGCCTCCTGATATAACTTAAGGACAGTGTTAGGACCATGCCTGGTAAACAAGAAAAGGTGGATGAGGAAGCTGGTGAATCAAAACCGATATGTCAAAAATTAGCACTACAGGGTGCACAAAATAATGAGAGGAGAGTATATTCTGATGGTTTTTCCCCTTTTTGAGTCCAAACAAACTCTGGAGAGAAAATTTGTCTATTGGAGTGAACTCCATCACCAGGTCTGTCGTCTCCATCATTTCCTGGGATCCCAGATCTTTGTTTTACTGATCCTTAGAGGTGTCCTGACCCGCTAGGAGCATAGAGGGGGACACAGCTGACTGCCATCTCTCCTACATACAGCTGAATCTCAAACACTGCCTTAGATGTGAGACTTCCTCTCCCCCCGCCTCTCCCCTATGTGTCCTTTGCCTTCTCCCACCTTATTTCTGCTCTTTCTACCTCGTTTCCTTTTTTTTCCTTTAGTCTAAGAAGAGTTTAACTTAGCTGGCCAAGACTGGATACTTTGCAACACTGCTGTAAGCATCTGACCAGAAAAAAGCAGCCTGATACTGGTGGAAGTTTGCCAGGTTTTGGAGTGGCTGATAAACTGTATACGGCGCCGATGATTTTTCAGCAGTGAGGTTGCAGGTGAGAGTCAACACCAAACTCAGAAGCTGTCTTGTCTATCAACGTCTCTAGTCCTTCTTCCCCTCGTGTTGGTGGGCCTGGGTCTTGTTCACATCTTTGGCTTTTTGGACCCATATATTGAATTTACATTATTTCGATACTGTCCTAAGTTCCCAGAATGACAGAACTGGGTCCTTAATAACATCTAGCCCACTGATCAAATGGCAGCATAGGTTTGCAGGATAATATCCTCAATTCAGGACTCGTGCTCACATTTTTTTCTGATCCATGGCAGCATACATTTCCATAAACATGTGGGATTTTTCTAAATAGAGGTGCATCTGTTATGCTTTATCCCAGCAACCAGATCTACAAGGATTTGGATTTTTTTTCTGTTATTTATTTTTTTGAAAAAAAGATTGACACAGCTATAGTGCTAACACACTGCAGGCATTTCTAAGACTTTGAAAACAGTAAACAAGAGACCCTGTGAAAATCTAAAATAGATCTTCTGAAAGTTATCTCCTCTACCGTGAAGGGCAGCTTTAGCTTTCCAGTGATAACTTCCTTCAAAGGAGAAAAAGATAATACCCCCACAAACAGATACCAGTTAAAACTGGTATTGTGATGTGCGAGATATAGAACTACTATATTTCCATCTACATGCTATCAATGGTGTTGTTCAAATGGGGGGGAGGGGCATGCGAGGGAGTAGGAAAGTATCAGTGTTCTACTGAGATTTCGGAACAACAATGTCACTTGGTAGCTTATTGGTAAAGTAAGATTTTTTTGGAAATCTTGTCTACAGCTGTCTGGGAAGATACTAAAAATGAGCTCTCAGTGGCCCAACGTGTGTTTGCAGATAAACAACACCAGACACATGTTCTTCATCTGCCTAAGTCTTTTCTAAAAGTGGGTGGAATCTTCTGATCAAATCTTTATTTACTTAGGGGAGGAGGAGTATAGGTCAACTGAATTGTTTTGTGAGTTTGTGTCAAATTTGTTAAGTTGATCTGGTTAATAGAATAAAAAATCCTTCCTCCTCCTGCCAAAAACCATTTTTTTTTGTTTTGACGTTAAGTTAAACATCTCAATTTTATAGCTTGAAATGATTTTTCATTTTGAAAATTCCTTCTACTTTATTTTCAAAATACGTTAAAAGGTTAAAAAAAAGCAGAAAATTGAATGAAAATATTTTGGTTTTAGTCAAGCAGTGGGCTCTGTTCTCCCCAAATGATTTTTTTTCAACTTTTCAGCTTGCCAAAAAATTCATTTTTTTTCTTTTGTTCCTTTTGTTTAGGTGCCCACAAAAAGTGTTTTCAAGCGTTCAGTTAGCAGTGAATTGAAAAAAAATCAGGTGATTGCATAGCTCTAGTTATCTCTGTCTCTGACTTTTTGACTGCATGGTCTTTTGGGCAAAGACAGTCTGAGGCTATGCCAGTGTAAGATCTCCAAGCCAGATGGGAGGCGGGGGGAGGGGGCAGGGATCTAGTAACCTTTGAATTACTACTGTAGTGCTGCTTCTCACATCTCTGAGGCCTCAGGGGTGGGGGCGGCGGCAGAGGGGGTTGCCATGGTTTGGGCAATGCCAAGGACTGATTGTGCTCAGCCCCACCAGACCTGTCCTCAGCCCCACCCCTTCTGGGGGCACAGTCAAACACTCCTTGCCTGGGCCCACTGTGGCTATCATCCCTGCTGAAGATCTCAGTGTAGCCACTTTAAGCAGATGTGAGAGAGGACTTGATTACTCTAGACCCCATCAGCAGCCATAGCTATTTCAGTGACTAATTCACAACCCTGGGTGACATACTTTATGTCCCTCTTAGATGTATTGAGGCCATAGTCTGTTTGTGTCTTGTACAGTGCTGAGCACTGCCTCAAGCCAATAATAGTGCATCATAAGAGCATAACTCAACTGTACTCTTGAATGACCCTTTCTTTATAAATGTAGGGTCAGGATGAAAACTGCAAGGTATTTATTGCTGTGTAGCTCAGGCAATGTAGGTTCCTGGGATGACAGTCACCCCACTCTAGTGCTGTATGATCAAGGATTCCAAACCAGCAGGAGGAGTTACCTTGAGTAAGTACTTGGAGAAGTAACACCTTCAGGTTGTCACAGCTACACATGTAGAAAGACAGAAATGCATTTTAAAAAAGACTTGTTTTCCCTAATTGCATGTTAATTTCAGCAAATTATTTCAATCAGAAATTGTTTTGGTCGAGCCAGATCTGTAGTTTTTAATCATAATAGCTTCAATTGAAAAACATTGCCCATCTCTCAGACAGTTGTTGCTGAAATCTGTGCTGTTGCCAAGCCTGAGCACTCTTGATTTGTCTGGACTAAAGGATCTTTGCTTCGGTCTTCATGGAAGAGGATGTTAGGAAGGTTCCCAAACCCAAACCTTTCTTTTTAGGTGACAAATCTGAGGAATTATTCCAGATTGAGGTGTCATTAGAGGAGGTTTTGGAACAAACTGATAAACTTAACAGTAAGAAGTCACCGAGACCAGATGGCATTCACCCAAAAGTCCTGAAAGAACTCAAATGTGAAATTGTGGAACTATTAACTGTGGTTTGTAACCTAACCTTTAAACCAGCTTCTGTACTTAATGACTGGAAGATGGCTAATATGGTACCAATATTTAAAAAGAGCTCTACTGGTGATCCTGGTAATTACAGACCTGTAAGTCTAACATCGGTATCAGGCAAATTAGTTGAAACTATTGTAAAGAGTAAAATTGTCAGACACATAGATGAATGTAATTTGTTAGGGAAAAGTCAAAATGATTTCTGTAAAGGGAAATCATGCTTTGCTAATTTACTAGAGTTCCTTGAGGTGGTCAACAAGCATGTGGAAAAGGGTGATACAGTGGATAGAGCGTACTTAAATTTCCAGAAAGTCCTTAAGAAGGTCTCTCACCAATGGCTCTTAAGTAAAATAAGTTGTAATGGGATCGAAGGGAAGGTCCTTTCATGGATTGATTATGGGTTAAAAGACAGGAAATAGAGAGTAGGAATAAATGGTCACTTTTCAGAATGGAGAGAGGTAACTAGTGGTGTCCTCCAAGGGTCCATACTGGGACCAATCCTTTAAGAAATACTTAGAAATGATCTGAAAAAAGAGGTAAACAGTGAGGTGGCAAAATTTGCAGATAATTCTAAACTGCTAAGATTGATAAGATCAAAGCAGGCTGTGAAGAGCTTCAAGAGGATCTCACCAAACGAAGTGATTGGGCAACAAAATGGCAAATAAATTCCCATGTAGACCTCTGAAGGGTCAGTCCAGAGCTGAGAAGGATGTGAGGAGGGCATTCTATGCCCTAGGTATTCCAGGATGAGCATCTGTAGGATGTGTTTATGCTTCTGACCAGACAGAATCCCAGAAATCATAAAGGAGAAAAGGGGCTTAAAAACCCTAGCTCCTCTCTCCCTTTTTTGGCTATACCTTCTGACCTGAGACTCCAGCACGGGCCATAATTTTAACCTCATGCTGCATCCTCACCCTTCCCATTTTGCCAGGTTATTGTGGCACTTTATGGGACAATCACCACTCCCCACGTCTGCAGGATATGTGCACCGACTCCTCTTTCTCATCAAGCTCTAACAGCTGCAGCATGGGTGCTTTGAGTGTGAGACAGGGGTTTCTGCAGCTGATCAACATCTCCCCTGCATGAGTAGCTGGATGCAAACCCAGGTAGCGTAGGGCTGGCGTCGCTCCGAGGACAGTAGATATATAGTGTTTGGAGGAATCACTTAACTGCTAAATGTCTAAGTTGGTGTTCATGAAGTTTTTCTTCTAAATGCTTTTTATTTCAGCAAAATATGAAAAAAGGCTTCTTAGGTTCTAGCAATTTGGTGGCAGCCGCTGAAGTGTTGTATATCAGGTGAGTGAGATTGAATAAAGGTGGTATGTTTCCCTATTCTGCTTTTTTGGCATCTTCTACCAAGTATGATAGGACATTAGGAATAGGAGTAATATTTGTTAATGTATATAAACAATCAACTGGCTGTTTGCCAGTATAGTTACCATATATCTACAGCTGGCATCGTATTACCTCCTAAGAACAACTCTTTGCAGAATGAACCCCCAGTCCTTCCTGCCTAACTCTGCACACAAATCGTTTTTCAATGCAGATCAGCTTTTCCTTATACAAATTAATCTGTAATTAATTAATTTAATTAATAGCCAGAGCTAGGGTAAGGAGGCAGATTTTGTTTAATGGTGGATTTAGCTAAGAATAATTGATTTAATGGGTACCTGAATAATGCATAAGTATGGGCACCTAAGAAAGAAGCACGAGAGAAATTAGCAGACGCAAACAAAACAACAGGTGCCTTTCTAATCTGTTCTGTGTTCTTTACATGAGTTTAGATGTGGATATGTGGTAGAATCAGTGTTAGAATTCAGGATCTGATTTAAGTGAAGCTGTGGGAATTAAATAAACACTGCTGGAAATCTTATGAGCCCATATGGATTTTCTAAATGAAATGAGACCATAACTGTAGGAGGTGGATTCAGATCCAAAGTTTCAAACCCAGTCTCCACCCTGAGAAAATTCAGATAGGCTTGAAGTGCACATTTGAAGTTTTCAACTCTCTCTCTCTAACTGAAATCATTTGCTAGATGCTCTTTTATTGCACATCCTTGCTTCCCGTATGTTGGAGAGATTCTCATTCACTGTGTTCCACATGAACTATTAGAGACCCCAGGGAGAAGTAAACAAAATGGGAATCAATTTTGTCCCAAAGACAAGACTGAAAGAAAACATGGTCCATTAACTAGAAAGGTTCTCATGCTAAAACATAAGGTGAGGCTACATGCAAATACACATTTCATGTTTGATGTTCAAATTCCAGGCAATAATCTACTACTGCCACAAATGAGTCCATAAAAATGAGGAAGAGAATTAATTTTTTAGATGACCCCATTGAAATACCCATAACATGCCTCAACTGTATATTTGTAGTTATCTGGGAATATTTATTATTTTTATTATAGTAGCACCCAAGAGTCTCAAACAAATTTGCAGCTTGATTGTGCACATTCTGAGAGAGTCCCTTATTGAAAGAGCTTGCAACCTGTCAAGGCTGTTTCCCGCTCTGGCACTAGGAATATAGAAGGTGGGGAACTTCAAGAGACCTTAAAATGCCGTGCCACTAAAGGCTTCTGCTTAAAATCTCCCCAACATCACAGGCTCCCAGATATTGGGTAGTACACTGCCACTCCCCAAATGCAAAAAAGCCTTTTTGAACTCAGGAAGATGCACTTGGGAATATCTTCCTGTGGGTTACCCCAAGCTCTTTAACCTTCCCTCAGGAGAGAGCTTGAAAGCAAACTAATTTCTTAACAGTGAACCTTAAGTCTTAGGTACATGCACATGGAATCTCTTGCTTTGTAGGACACAGGAATGAGGAAAAAAAAGGTGATTAAAAAAGGTAATTTTATTAGCAAAACAAAGATGACATACTTGGTAAAGCAGAGAATTGCTTCCCTGGGATTCAGCTTTCAGTTTTAGTGTACAGTGTTAGTTAGCACAAAGGAGTTTAACCAAACTAAAAAACAACCAACCAACCAAACTAAAAAACAAAAACAAAAAAACACTTGATCACATCTAACTAAACATTCTCTGTTCACTTACATACCCTTTGTTCCAGAGTTCCTGTGCTAAGCTTTCACACAAAGGAGACTGAAGTAGGTTAAACCACTTTCATTTCAAATTTCTCATCCTCTTCTCATTTGTTTTACTGGCTCCCTGACAACACTTCATGGGAACCTACTGTCTCTGGGTTTAACGCTTTAGTTACTGAATGCTGGAATGTCTAGAAAAGAGTAGTACCCCTCTCCTCTATCACACAACCATAGTAGAGAAAACAGATGGGAGAGATGGAACATTAGAATGTCCATTTTACTAATGGTGAACTGAAACACAAACCATTAAGTAATGTGCCCAGGCATGTACTGAAGGTGTATGGCAAAGCCAAGAACTCAATGCATATTTCTTGAGTCCCTGCTCAGTTTTTTAATCACAATCCCTTATCTCCATGACACTTATTACTTAAACATTTGACCAGAGGCATGCAAGCATATTGTATGCAATATTACAACTAAAATATCTCAAATATATGCTTCAAAGTTGAAATCTATTACAGAATATATAATCCCTTAACACAATTTAAATAGGGACTGGGATTTGCATATGCTTTACATATTATCACAACTATGTTCAATACATTTTATGAAAGATGTGTGTTTGCAGCCATGCATTTAATCAACCCACAGGGAAGTAATATGTGATTTCTTCAGGGCATTTGAGATGGTGTGTCATATCCTGCGATTATTTTGAAAGAAACCCCTTCTTCCGAAATAACGGGTAAACCTCATTTTTTGAGAAGTAAGGGTTATTTCGAAGGAAGGGGTTTCTTTCAAAATAACTACATCTACACAGTGTTTGTTATTTCAAACTAGGGTATTTCGAAATAGCGGCGGTCCGCGATTATGCAAATGAAGCTCAGGAAATTCAAATCCATGCTTCACTTGCAATTTTGCACAGCTGCATTTGCATCCCTCTCTCAAAAGAGGGTGCAAGTGTAGACATCCCCTAGAGAAGTGTTTACCATCTGGGCATGTGAACTTTTGCATTGGAGAACACATATTTGTGATTATTTTTGTGGCCAGTATCATTCCAGTTTTGTGCCAATACCTTTAGAGTAAAAATGCCTAGTTCTCTGGCACTGTTTGTGTAGGAAACAAGACATTGAAGGGGGGAGATCCAAATACCATAATGCTTCTCATTATCTCTGTTCCACTAATTGTGGGGTTGCAGGATTTTGTTTAATAATGAATTTAGTTAAGGGTACTTGATTTAATGGCTACTTGAATAAGACATAAGCACAGGTGTTTAAGAAAGATGCATGAGAGTAGTTAATGGAAACAAACAAAACAACAGGTGTCTCTGTAATCTGTCCTGTGTTTGCTGGGAAGCACAGATGATGCTGATCTTTAAATGAGTTGTTACACCTTACCAGGAATGCTGAATGTAGAGACAGCTGTTTCTAGTGATAAATACAGTTTTTTTTTTTTTTTTTTTTAGTAAAAAAAAAGCTTGCCTAATCCTCAGCTGGTGAAATTTGGTGTAGCTCTGTTCCAAGCTCTCCCCTGCCAGAGAGTCCTGCTGTGCCCAAGGGTAATTTACCCCAGGCTAGGACAAAGCGAATCATGAGGTTCTCTTCTCCTCCAGGTTTAAGCCTTCTTTGCTGCAGTTGGAATGATGCAAGCAGACTTACTGCACTGGAAAATGGAGCTTGTATTTTTATGCATGGATACAGAAGGGATCAAGGTACAGTTTGTGCATTCAACATGAACTTTTGCATTTCCCGACTTTGAGAGATGAGCTGTGCAGCTGTACTGTTGTAAGGCCACATTTTTAAATATTTAAGGTGTTTTTTTTAAAAGATCTCTCTAAAGCAGTGTTCCTTAAACTTTTTAAGACCTGAGGAACACCAAACAATACTTTTTTTTAATGAGGAGCACCAAGGATTTTTTGTTGAGGATGGCAGGGGGAAAGTTATTGAGGGGGAAAAAAGGGGTGGGGAAAGTTATTGAGGGGAAAAAAGGGGCCGGAGGAAATGTTTTGAAGGAAAAAAAAGTGGCCATTTTTAATTCTGTTTTTCTCCACGGCACACCTTCTACTGCCTCGCGGCACAACGGTATGCCACTGAACACAGTTTAAGAAACACTGCTCTAAAGCATAAAGGAGACGTACAAGAGCTCTATACTTGCAAAGCATCAGTTTAAGATCACTAAGTGCCTCTGAATGACTTTAGTAAGCCAGAAAGATAAGTTGATTTCTTTAGTGTATTATCATTGGACAGTCAGTGATAGAACCTTATCATAATTAGAGTTTTCTGCTTAAAATAGTGTGTGTGTGTGTATGTGTGTGTGTGTGTGTGTGTGTGTGTGTGACATTCTAACATAATGTGTTGTCACCTTTTTTATATATATATATATATATATATATATATTATACTAGCATATCTGAAAGGAAAATGACATTCTAACATAATGTGTTGTCACTTTTTTCTTTTATTTAACTGGGCAATTAACCTTTTAGATTTTTGCTAGCTATCTTGCTACCATGGCTAATATACAGTAACAAGTAGATCTGTTTCAGCCAATATTATTCCTTAACTCTAAAAATCTGTTCTGAAATTGCTCCTGTGCCAACTAAGGGTGGATGTTAAAATCTCTATATCACAGGTTCTCAAACTTCATTGCACCTGTTGAGAACAAAAACAACTTCACAGCCCCAGGGGGAGACTGAAACCTGAGCCTGCCCAAGCCCCAATATCCCAGGGGGCAAAGCTGTAGGTGGAAGGGCAGCAGCCCCAGGCCACATCAAGTGTTAGCCAGTCTTGGCAACCCCATCCAATGGAGCTTGCAACCTACTTTGGGATCTGGACCACCCCTTTGAGAACTGCTACTCTGTATGGATTATTTAGATATCATCAGTCCTCTGATAATTTTTGGAACTTAATTTGAGGACAGAAAACTTTTACATTTTCCAAATCATGGCATGCCTAAAATTTGACAATTGTTGAAATGCGTTGTCCTTTGTTGTCATTGGGCCTCCTTTGCTCATGAGAATCATCTCATTAAAGGAAATAATATGACTTGTGTGATTGGGTTCTCTGTTAGCAGCACTTCTGCCCTGCCCTTTTCCTACGGGTCCTGTGATTCCAACAGAAATGTTTATAATAGTGTTGTGTTGCATGGACCACGTGGTACAATATCTGAGAGAAAAATCAGATTAATTTGTTCTCTGACCTGCTCATTTCCCACAGAAAACTGTGTTCGTTAAAGGGTAAAGGAATTGGTCAAGGTGGAATCGGAAGTCGTTTTCTGAGGTATTCAACATTTTAATCTCCATTAATGGAACCTAATATTGCCCAGGCCAATTAGAGGGATGGCTAATGTGTAGTTCATTTATTACTTCCTCTTAGCCCCATTCACATTGAATTGACCCATTTGCTTCATAATGGCTCTCATTTCAGCTCTAGGCAACAAGTGACCTTTTCCCCAAATTATTGGCCTAACCTACAAAGACCTGTGCCACAACTATGCAAATTTGGCACCCCTCCTCCTCACTATCTGCTGCTTTTCTGTAGACCAGAGTGAGTGTGGCTTTTTTATTATCCTTGTTAGCTTTTGGGAATAATTGGTGCTCATGACAGTAAGGCAATAACAGCATGTAATTGGAGGCTTTCTAAGCTTCCTTGCATAGCTCGGGCAGGGCAAAGAAGATGCCATGTGCACCATGTTATGCTACTGCTCCATCAAAGTGATAGGGACCTGGGTGCCCTCTAATTGGTTCCAATTTGTAGTGCTGAATGTACTTAAAGTGGGTTCTCTGTCTGGGCGTGAAGTCTGGGATGTGACTATTATTTCTGAGACTGCTGACCTGCTTGTAGGGTGGACTGCTCCTACGGTGTAAGATTAGGGTTTGTGAATAGACACATTTTCCAGTTTGGCAGACTCCAGAGTTTAACCTGTATAGCCAGAATATGAATGGCTGGTATAAGAACCCCAAAGACCAGTGGTTTTCAAACTAGGGGTCATGACTCAGGAATGTCAGGCACTGGGTCTCATTGCCACAGGGGGGGTCAGGTGACCGGTGGGAGTGCTAAGACAGCTACAATGCCTGTTCTGTCACCACAGACTGTGCTGTGTCCTAAAAGTAGCTGGCAGCAGACCTGGCTTCTGGGTGTGTGGGGGATTGGGGATGGGAAGACGTTGTACAGGGTTCCACACACTGCTTCTGCCCCAAACACTAGCTTTGCACTCCCATTGGTTGGGAACCTGCTGCCAGTTGCCAAGAGAGTCAGGAAGCTGCCTTAGCACCCCTGCTTCACCACCAACTGGAGCCACTCCAGGTAAGCCCCTCCTGTCCCAGCCCTGACCTCCCCCCATACCCAACAGCTCTCATCCTCAGCCCCACCCTGGAGCCTACACTCTCATCAAATTATGTTGGGTCGCAGCCATCAACAATTTTCTTCAACTGGGTCATGAGGAAAAAAAGTGAAAATCACTGCCCTCGATGATATCAGTCATTCACTTCTGTTTGCCAGTATTACCTCCCATGCATTAAAAACATTCCAATTTCCAGACAATGAGCTCAAGGGCAGTTCTCATTGCTGCAGGGCGTCGTGCTAGTAGCTATATCTTATGCAGCCAATATGCACTCTACAGAAGAGATTAGGGGTACCTGGAATTCTAGTGCATGAAAAACTTAGAGGTTTTGGAATTTGTTTTTTGTTCCAAAGCAGAATGAACAGTATAGCTGTTCATATGGACTTCCCTGTTCTCAATAATGCAGAGCAGGGACTTGGGCCAGATAGAGCCTTGGGTAGAATAGTGACTTTTGGTGACACTCATCTGGTTTTGGTTTTGATAAATTGATATTGATCAGAAAATCCCAATTCATCAAAAAGTTCCTGATTGACTTTAGCTGTGATAAACTTTTAAAAGTTACATATACTTCTCTGCTCTCTTTTATATTATCTTCAGCAGTGACTCAAAATATTTATATTGTGCCTACAATGCCCTGAAGCTAGATGCTATTAGCATATCCGTAATATATCTAGCCCTAAGCAATGCACATTGAACATTTGCCACACATTGCTCTGAGGAATGAAGTGATCCACTGTGCGATAAATATCTCAAGAAGGATGCAGTCTAGAAAGCCCAGTAGTAGCACTATCTAATGGCGAACCCTTCAATTTATTCTACATCTCATCATTACTGGTTCAGAACTATTCTGGTCATACTGTGGACCAAATTCACCATGGCAGGGTTGAATTTGGCCTATTGTTTCAAATACCCTTAGACCATGGCACACGTTGATTGTAACAACAAAATCACAAATACATTCTACAGTTGTAGGGAAGGATATTTTAACACAAATTTGAATGGGCTGTGGGCATGCTCTCTAGCAGAATCTAAAAGTATAGAACCAAAGATCTCTTCTGGTAGAGTGAAGTTCATGTATTAATTGCATTTTGCATTTTGGAATGGGAGTCCAAAACTCTCCTGGAAGCTTCAGTATAATTCAGCACTAGTGAATGGACTAGCGACTTCTAAGCGTAAAACCTTTTTTCAAGTATCTGAAGACTATTATCATATCCCCCCTTACCTCCTCTTTTCCAAACTAAACACTCCCAGTTCCTTCTGCCTTTGCTCATATGACTTGCATTCCATCCCTTTGATCATATTTGCTCACCTCTGGATCCTTTCTATATAGTGGTGACCAAAACTGGACACAGCACTGCAGCTGAGCGGTACTATAATCTTCTATGATTTGTATGATATGCCTCTGCATAGTGGGGCAACTGCCTCACTCCATCAGGGAAAGGGTTAAAAGCAGACCAGAGGCAGTCTAAACAAACCTAGCCAATCAGGATGAAGGGAGAGGTCAGCCAATCACGGACAGGCTGTATTAAAAACTGCAGAGCTGAGGGGAGCTCAGCTGGGTCCTGACCAGGATCAGAGAAGTACTGGGTAGGCTCAGGGGAGCAGAGAGGGAAAGCTCCCACCTAATACCAGCTAGGCTGAGGCCTTGAAACAAGATGAGAAGGTGCAAGGGTCATGGGGAAGTGGCCCAGGGAACACTGGTAGTTGAGGGGAGTGAAGTGAGCTGCCACTAGCTGGTCTCTGGGTTGGGAGGCCTCTCCCACTTCTCCCTTGCAATACACCTTGTCATATTGGGGTGTGGCCAGTACAGGGTGGGGCTTGCCCCCGAGGGGAGGGACTAAACTTGGCCACTGAGGCAGGTATGAGAAGGAAGACTGCTGATACCTCCAAAAGGAGTGAGAAGAGTGGTGGGCACTGCTGGAGAGCAATGCTCTGAAGCAGATGCTGTGATGCAAGGGAGCAATGTGGGTCCTGAGACAGGAAAGTGACAACAGGGACACCAGCCCCAGGCAGTGCACCCAAGCTAACTCCTAGAGCAACCAGCAGGAGACACCGTGCGGGTTAACTCACAACCATGTCAGGCCCACGTTAATGTAACCTTAACGTGCCTTTGCTTTTTTTTTTTTTTTTTTTGTTTTTTTTTTTTTGCAATAGCATCAAGTTGTTGACTCCCGTTTGGGGTGTGATCCACCACAACTCCCAGACTCTTCTCAGCAGTGCGGCTGCCAAGCAGTTATCCCCCAGTCTCTCTCTGTGCATTTGGCCAGTTCTCCAATTTTTCAAGATATATGTATGGATTTTAGCTCTCTCGTCCAAATCAACTCCACCCTTTACCTTATGCTATTTAGACCCACTGTAGTATTTTGGGGATGATACTTGCCATATCCAAAAAAAGAATTGAAATAATTCTCAGCAATTCCTTTATTTCAATGCATCAGAAAACTACTGACCTCTTAGCGTTCCATATGTGTCTAAGAAATACAAAGCGCAATTACATATTAGTAAAGAATGAGATGAAAACAGCACAATGGCTGTCCCATCTGGTTCACTTGGCTGCTACAGTTATAAATACGCTGCTCGCTCTTACTGCAACTTTTTTTAAGCTGGGCAGGGGAGCTGAATTACTGGGCCCCTGGACAAGGTGGAGGGGCCCCAGTCTGTGCTCCTGGAAGGGGTGGGGCTGTGGGCTAGCCCCTCCCCCAGTCCTTCAGTGCCACCTGTTGTGTGCTGCGCGGGGCTCTAGAATTGATGTAAAGGGCTTGGGGCTTTATCTGTTTTCGCTGCCAGAGTAGCAGTGGTAGCGGCTGGACGCACCAGGCCCTTTTCACTCTTTACCCCCTCCCCTGCTCCTCCCCTCCGTTGACAAGCCTGATTCAAACTCTGAACTGAACTAATTTTTCCACTTCCTGGCTTCATCCCTAGGTATTAAGACTCTTTCCTTTTCTCTTTCTTCAACCCTCTACCTCAGCAATTACCCTCCTGCTTATTACTCTGCTTTAATCACTGAGGGCCATTCCACTGAACTCAATTAGAAACTTTTCATTGGTTTCTGATTTGGGCCACATAGCTCTATTTTGCTACCTTTTTTTCCATCCAATAGTACTTTATTCTGGTGCTGAAGTCAATAGAAAGACTCCTATTAATTTCTAAGAGCTTGGTTTCCAAATGCCTGGAATAGGGCCTAATGGAACCCTATTGGTTGGATTGATTCTTTACAGCCTTGCCCAGTTTATGGTTATTCACATCCATACAAAGTGGTTGTAACGTGTAACCAAATCAGACTGGTGAGTTTACACCTACTGTTCACTGATTTAAATAACTGTGACAGGTGCACAGGATTAGAGAATACGGATCTTCCCCTTTCACAATATTGGGAATCATAAACAGTTAAAATTAACAAGAAAAAATGAAACCCAATGGTATAGTTCATGAGTACAGTTTGAATAGTTCTAACCAGGGTGACTGATACCTGATTATAAAAGTCAAAGGAGTGAGATTTCACTTAATTATCATGCAAGCATACAGCTCTTCAGTAGAAGTTGAAAATTACATCATGTTCTGTTGACTATCACTCTTGCATTAACAGATGGTCCCGGTCTACTTATGGGAGACAGACATGTTACTGAATGCTTTTGTTCAGTCTAACATTTTACTTAAAAATATTACACTGTGTTTTGAACTTGAACTGCTAATCGCTGTCCTTTAAATTGCAATTGCAAAATGAATCTTTTCGATGTGACAGGAAGAAATCACTTTGCATTACAAATCCTAAATAAATGTATCTGAGTAACAAACTCTAAAATGAACCCTCTATTTCTGTCTCTCTAATTAGGGATGTGAACAAGAAGTTGACTATACGATTAACTAATAAGCCTAGGCTTCTTGGTTAATCTTGTTGACTACTTGCATTTCCCGTCCTTCCTCCCCCTCAGACACA